TACGTTTTCAAACCTTCAGATGGGTCAAACTTCGCATCAATGGATGGTGGATGCTACTCCCTTCCACTTGTCTTAAGAGAGATGTTGGGAGGTTCAGATATTGCGTAATTAGTCAATCGATATGAGACAGAGGTCTCACGTTTGAAGGCCAAAAAACAACCTGTGGTTCAGCACGAAAACAAACCTGAATCAAGTGACTCCAACTGAAATTCAGTCGCTTTCTCTACAGTCACCCCTATTGAATATTCCACCATTTCATAACTTTCACTCTATCTTATCTTCGCTTCTACACACTCATTCACTTCTTTCCTTCTCTTCAATCTCATCTGCTCAAGGTTCTTCTTTGCGTACTCAGTTACTGTTTGTTTTTTCTTCTGCACACTCGTTCATTTCGTTTTTTCTTTCCTACACACTCGTTCACTTCGTTTTTTGTTTTCTACACACTCGTTCACTTTTTTTTTGTTTTCTACACACTCGTTCACTTTTTTTTTGTTTTCTACACTTATTTGATTTTATTTACCTCTTTTATTGTTGTTTTTCTTTTGGATATATAAATGTTAGACCCTCTAAGTCCCCTACATGTTTTTTGAAATGTACGTGACAAAAATGGTCAGGTTTAGAGGGATGTTTTGCCTTTTTCCTAGTTCGGTCCCAAAAATGGTCAGGTTTTTTGTCACGGGGCTCCGCAGGAGCATTCCAGGGTCCTATGGTGGTACTCGAGAATAGGTCTATACCTTATTTCGAGACTACCACTTACGGGGCGAGAACAGACCTGAGAAGGTTCAACTTCTCAACCCGGGAGGTGGGTGGGTTTTTTATAAATTTTCTAAAGTCAAAGATTTTTAGAAAAGAAACTTGATTCCTTGATGAAGAAGCACAAGTGCAGATAGGAAGTTGATGAGATGGATTTTCCAGCTAGACAGAAATGTTAGAACAATATGGAAAGGTAACTATTGCATCAAGTCATAGAACTTACCTAGACAGAAATGTTAGAACAATATGGAAAGGTGAAGAGAAACCAAATCCAGCTAACAATTTGTAATACAATATATAAACTAACTAATGCTAATAGTTAATAGAGAGATTGAATGAGAACTATGTATTAGCATATAACAATGATGTCATACACAACAAACACAACTGTGACATTCATAACAGAAGTGATTTTAGAGAGAAGGTGAGGAAAAATTTCTCATCTTCCAATTCTCCTAAATCACTCGTGGTAAATTCAAAACTTCAGGATCTTGTTTCACACGAGTGACACTCCCCTGCACCTGTCACTTCTCCTTTCCCTCTAGGAATGGACTTCAGTGTACAACCACAGGCTATATGAACACTAAGCAAAGATAGGTTGAAGGTTGGATTGCTTATTATTGGAGCTGTTGGATTGCGACGGAGCAGAATGCTGAGAATTTATAGGCGTAGGATAGGCGCAGCAAAGAAGATGAAATAGGTAGGTAGGATTAGAGCTGGATGTGATAGATACTATATGGCCGAAGTAGGCAAAATAAATAATACATGATCCAAAATTGTTCCCCTATCTAAGAGACCATAAGACCTCTGTAGTGTCAGGCTTCACAATATTATTTGCATCTGGCACGTTGTGTCAAACATGGAAATTGAAGTCTTGATGATGCTGAGTGAGACACGTCAAAATTGAACAGATTCATTTCTTAGGGGAACATGTTACATTACCAAGTACATTAAGTTCTCTACTTGGTATGATAAGGTTAAAGGTATGGTTAGTGGCAGGCTTGTAGACAGAACAGAATTTTGCTAAAGGTGGCACATTCAATTTAGCAAATTAATTGATTGCATTGATAGGTGTATTACAAAGGTATGAGTCAAGATGAAAGATTCATTTAAGTACAAGTGATGCATACTTATGGAATTTTGTACCGATGATGTTTATGCTTTTGACAATGAGAGTGAAAGATAAGGTGATAAATTCAAAGTTGAAGAGAGAATTGTTACATGGCAATAGCCAAAAAATGGGTAGTTACGTTGGGAGGAATATTACAAGAGAAAAACTTGGATGATGATACAGAAAGATGGAGCCATCATAATAATCCGCTTAAATAATTTTGACACTCTTGATAAAGCATTACAGATGGCATAAAGTAAGATCGGATTGTCAAAGACATATTGATAACCTTGGAAGAGACTGGGAAGCTAAAAAAGAAAAACCAATAGAGAAACATTGGGAGGGATGTGGCAATCATTGACTGCAAGGGTGTTACTTTTAAAGACTGGTCAGGGCTGCAAATAGGTATTTTGCCTTTGTCAAAAGATAGAGTCTATGGAGGTCCAGATTTAACTCATCTTAACGGGAATTGCGCTTCAATGAAGCATCATTGGATGTATCATTTATCAGAGCCCTAATTTGATGACACTGAGGAAAAAAATGAGACATAGTGATTACTGAGCAGAAAACTCCTAAAAGGGGGACAATGAAGCTAGTCAGGGGAATACTACAATACGTGATCACTATACAAAGTAGTGTATAAAATTAAGGATAGAACGTAAGGTTTGAAATTGAACAGACAATAGAAAACCGTAAAAAGATAGTAGAAGGACAAGATTTATTATCTGAGGACATAACAGAGGCTGAAATAATCATTCAAGTTAAAGGATGTTTGGCGGCAAAACCTGATTAAAATCCCAATCCCCACTACCAATTTCCAGGTTTACACGTTCACCATATTTAATCTGATTTTCACGCACCTCACCCCAAATCGCTCCTCACCCTCTGATCAAATCAACTCTTCACCGCCTACATACCAAGTTGGAAACAGGTATGCATCTTTGTCTACATATCTCCCCTCAGCTCAGCCAGGCTCAGCCTCAATTCACCTGATTATTCACCTTCCCAATCTTATCCCATTGATCCTGATCAAGCACTACACCTTTGCTCAAGTTGGTAGAAGATGTCTGGATTCTCTTCAAGGATATCAATTCTGCTGTTGGTTCATCCTCTGGCTCAAGCCTTTTGCCGCTCCCTTCATCCCCTACCAGTATCAATTGTGAGCTTTTTCTTCTACTAATTGTTCTAGAGACACTTCAATTAATTCACTTGGAGCTTTTTCTGACCCTTGCTAACTTCATTCTTAATCATAGGATTGAAACTATCCAACATCATCATCAATCTAATTCAAATTCAACTAAAATCTTCAATGATGATAAAACTATTATACATGATGTAGTGACTTAACAAAAATGATGGGGTTATCATGTTTTTCAGCTATCAGCACCAGAGCAAAAGAAGGTGGATTGATTTACAGTAAATGGTTTCATTGGTGAACCTTCTTTTTATAACTTAATCTTTTTAAAAGCAAATGTTCTAACTTGAATCTTCTTCTTTTGAATTTTTTTGTGCTGCTTTAGGTGCTGTTTGTGCAATTATTTATAGATATCTGGTTGAAAGTCATTTTTATGCATCATTCAAGTCAAAGGTACAGCATGTTTGGCGGCAAAACTCAATTCAACTATCAAGTCTTACATACTACAATTTTGAGGTTTGCTCCTGTGAATAGGATCCTAGTATCAATCATCATGTACACATTCAGTAACAAGGTCACTCTAACGCCTGACATAACCAGCTACCCAATGGCCCAGCCTCACAACCACAATTGATTGCAACTAAAATTTACGGAATACATAGAGCGCCATACTGACATATGATTAGCACTACATTTACATACATATTTTTTGTAATTTAAATTCAGCTGTACACCAAGTTGTGTACTACATGAGTCGGACTGACACAATAGAATTCTCTATTTCACTACACAAACCATGAATGTCAGTATGGTGATTCCCTTAGTGGCAAGTGGTACATCGAGTGACATACTGACTAATAAGGTTCTCCTTCTTTATTATAGTGGCAGTATGCCTACCACCTATCTACCCCCACTGACACTTAGGTCACCTGTTTTTGTTTATCTCATCAACATGTATGTATGGGCGATGCCATCCCCCTAAATGTAGAATATCACATACCTACACTTTCTACTAGTTATCGTGCATTTCTCTAGGTTCATCACAACATAAACAAACTTTCAAAGGTTGACTGAATCAATCACCATTATCATCGTTTTACCAACCCTACAGATCACTACACCATGTCTTTGATCTGTAAAATCTGTAACAGTCTTTCAATGGACGAAACAATTGAGGGTGCTTGTAGGCCTTGTATTATCAAGCTTATCAATGTCAACTGTGATCCCCCCTCATTGTCTATAACTGCTCAGCAATCCACTTCAAGTACTGGCAACCATGCATTTCAACTGCATCAGTCAGCTACAGCCAAGAAACAAGACTCAATAATACTAAGTAACAAATTCTCACAAGCAAAATCATTAGAACGTCAAGGGCTATCTGAACCTCCAAAAAAGTCAAATCCACCACCACCTATCCTCACCCATTACAACTTCAATGCTTGGATGAATATGTATCTTAAAGGGAAAATAACTACAAAATACTTAGAAAAATCTTTCAAATTATTGATTGTATTGACTGAATCTACAGGTGAACTATATGATTGAGTTGCTTCTAGCATTTATCATAGTTTTTTACCCTAAATTCAAGAAGCAAAGAATGATCTTCCTGATTTCCCTACCCAATACAAGTTTAATGAAAAGTACTTCTGTCTGAACAATTTTCGTCCCGCTATAGAAATACAGAAAGATGACCTCCCTGACTTGCTGCGAGGTGGATCAAAGATGCTGGAACTTTCATTCAACTCAGCGCGCTATGATAGTAGATTTGGTATTTTAGAAAAAACAGATAAAGATAAGAGATCAAATAAAGCATCAAAGAAAAGAAATCACAAGATATCCCCCTCTGAAGCTGAGTTAGACGACTAAAGCAAATTAGAATCAATTATATTAGCACCAAAGAAAACATCAAAGAGAATCAAAAAGAATGCAAAGGTTCTTCAAGATTGGTCACAATTCTCGGATGATTGTGAATTTGCTAGTGATCAGTTTGATACACATCCAATGAAAAAGTCTTCAAAGCCAGTCAAATTGATTCAAAATTGCTCAACCTCACTCTCCGATAACGTCTCATCAGCCCAGCTACCTGATCCAACCTTTATTAATCCATCACTACTATCAGCAACTTCCACTGCTCCTCTGTGTGGAAGTAGTACAGCTTGTTTTCATCTCCCACCAACTCAACTTAACTACGGAACCAATTTTTCAAAAGATGTACTAGGTACAATGGTATCAGATGGATTTTTGAACGAGAAAGCGAACTACACTACATCTCAGACAGTTGTCAAAGATTTCAGTTGTGAGTTTTTTGTCTGTCGATACTTATGTTTTTGAACTTCCATTCTGATTCTTCTCATGCAGATGATTCGACACACATCAAACAGATGTGTGTAACAGCTTTTGCAAAACCACTCCCCGTCCATGACCCTATATCCCCGACACAACTCATTGAAGGAAGGAAGCTTGTCCTTCAAGCCAGGAATGGTAAAACAGTATGGATTCCAGCTCCATTCAGATTCAAAGTTTTCACTGACAAGGAAGTGGGAAGAGGCTCGACTTGGATCTGCTATGAAGCATTGGGAGAATCTGGAGGAATTGTATACAACATGGTCGCAACACAACTGATCAATCATAAACTTTTTTGAGGGACTTATTTGGAGCCTTATATTCAAACAATGCAAGCTTACATGGGTGTTGCAAAGTACTTGAAGCGCTTTCAAGACGATTGTGAGAAGCTTGATGGGTTATTTCCTATGTACAGTATTATACAGGACTTAAAAGTGAGTGTCTCTTGAAAATTGGTCTTGTATGAACAAATTCTGATTTTTCTACAGGTTGTAAAATCATTTGTAGTCTACTCTGGATCTTTGAGCCAAGATCTTGACCCAAAAAACATTTGGTTTTTTGAAAAATCCCTTGTAAAAGAAGGTCAATTCGAGAAGTACACATCCAACATGTGTTTCAAGATACGATCATCATGTGATTCAACCCATATGGCCCTTTCTGCTTTCACTCATTACGTATATGAGAAGAACAATCATCAGAGATTAGTTGCTGATCTTCAAGGATTTGGTGAATATCTCACTGATCCACTCATTTTGGATATAAAGTGAGCAAATTTAATGTATATGAAATATATAAAACTCTTACTGAATTCATTATCTTATTCTACAGGAATGCTTGGGTTCAGGAGACTAACACAGCTGAAGAGGGAATTCAAAGATTCAACGAACAGCACCGGTGCTATGAAATTTGTCACAAACTAGGACTGCCGTTTCCACCTGGTCAAGAAGCCAATCAAAACCATAGTGAGAATATGGAAAAAGATTTCATTGAAGATCATATTGCTAATGGGGGAAATCCAGACTTTACTGCACCCGAGAACGCACCAAATGAGTTCTGGAAACAAAAAACTACTCAAAACCGTATGAGACTCCGTTCTCAAAAATCACCTGATGTGTAGTAATTTTATTTTGCAATTTGTTTCTAATTACTGTTGTCAAGAAAGTCTCTAGCCAATCTTTACTTCTATGGATTACAATTGCAGCTCTGAGGAATATGAGACCCAATCATGACAGTTGTCCATGCCACTCACTTTATTTGTCCGGATTGTGTTTCATGTATTGTGGTTTCAAGGTCAAGATCTTATACAACGATTCACTCTTTACAATTTGTAAAATCCAAAAATATTCCCATGAAAAAACGGAGAGCAATATTAAAAGAAAGTAGCAATCATGATTGATTGATACAATCAAGAACAATTGAGTACAGCTACAAAATGTGAATATAATGACTGATAAGGACTGATATGCTGGGTGTTTTGGACGTACCAAATTGCACCCAACTGCAGGAAATTGGATATAAGCATATCCTATGCCTGAATCTTTTTCAGGGGCCACGTAAGTGTCTCTTCCAAGCTTTCTCATCTCAATCTTTTGTCTATCATCTTCCTTGCTCAAATCAATCATCATTTCCTTGAATCTATTCATGAGTAAGCTCTTCAACACTTTTCAATATATTGGAGAATAAAAGCATGTCTAACTAATCTTTTCTCAAAACAATCCTCTTTCATCCATTTCTAGTCAAAACGATTTGATTCTAGTTAAGCAAACAAATCGATTTGAATCATTATCAATCCAATTCTAATCCAAAAATCAATCAGGTTTTTGATTCTAGTCCAACAAACAAATCGATTCAAACCCCAATTAACACAATCACAGTCTAGACATCTGTTAGTTTCTTTCTAGCTCATAAACTTGGATTCTTCTAGTACAAAAATCCAATTCTAATCGTGATTGATTCCATTATGTCATCTACTTGCGATTGATTCCATTCTTTCATCTAATTGTGATCGACTCAATCCTTTCATCTAATCACGATCAATTCAAACCTTTCATCTAATCGTAATCGATTTGATCCTTTCATCTAATTGTTCTCGATTCAATCCTTTCATCTAATTGCGATCAAATCAATCCTTTCATCTGATCGTGATCGATTCAACTCTTTCAACCAACCATTTCACATCAAATCACTTCAACTTTAATTCTAGTAACAAACCGATTTCCATCACAATTAATTCAAATTGATTCCAGTCAAAAAAAGATACATTAAAAACAATTGAAATTATTTATCAAATCAGCATGATGTGAGATACCAATATGCATATTTCTTCATTCTTCATTCTTCATTCATCTTTCTTTTGTCATGATCAGCAACTAGAGGATAGCAGAGCTCCCACAGGCCAACTTGATAATGGATGGAATTTCATCTTGCATGTTCTATCTTGACACAGTTAAGATGCAGAACTACCTGATGTCTCCATTCCACCATCAAGTTGGTTTTGGACCTTGATGATCTATGGTCACTGATATGGGTTTAACTGCCCTTGTCCTCCCCAAGAATCTGGGTTGGTTTCACACACCAAATTCTTGTGGGTAGGGTTTGACGCAAACCTTGAGCAAACCTAATCTTCATTGTTCGAGTGTGGGAGAGTTGTGACACTTCAAAAAAGTTGATCTCTGACATGGAAGATTATTTAACTAATGTTTGATGTTTTTTAATTCCTCATCAGTAATAAGAAATATAGATCCCCTGCACAGAAACGTGCTTGAGCAAAATTTAATACTAGTCAGATCGAAACTCGAGTTGCAATCAAGAAGAGTAAAATTGTTGCACAATGGGTTGATCATAATACCCCACAACCTCCATCTTCTGATCGACCCTTCAAGTTGAATCGTGCTCAAAACTGAGCGCGCATCAGAGCTGAATTCAAACAAAAAATACGTGATCGGTTTGGCCTTCCCAAAGACGCTGCCTTTGTCTTCCGAACTGAGCATGGTGGACAGGCCCTTTTGTCACTTTCTTTTGGTACAGTAGTTATACTTAATAAACATGGAACTAAACTCCTTGCGGTCGTCCAATTCAACGAGCGAGAATATACAGGGAAGCGGTTGAATAATGGAAAGCTGAAGCGAGAACTTACACCTGATTGTGCCAAACTATTTGACAATTTTAAAAACTCAATCATGACCTTGTATCAGCATGCAACAGCCCGTTATTGCTGCTATACTAATGGTGCAGCTGAAGGTCTGAAGCATATGAAATCTGGTCAGATGTTTGTGGTGGGTTTTTGTGGTGGATACAGAAAGAAAAAATTTGGAGGTGCGTAGTTTCTCATTTATTTCTTTTGGTTTTTAAAATTTTTGGTTGTTCATGTATGTTTTAATTTAGGTACCTATGCTCTCAATGCAACAACTGCACGTCTTGTTGCCCGGATGGAAAACGGCCTACGCCGCCAGATGTATCTCCCATACATCAACCATTTTCTAGCCAAACAATTTGCCTCCCTATCTATTGAAGCCTTTGAATCCAATTGGAATCAAGCTGCTAAATGTTGCACACCCTCTTGGTCTTCAAAGTTGTTTTTCAAATCTCCAAATGGACGGGTCTTTGGGTCAAACTTTGTTGTAACACGTGATGAGTTTGCCAACATGATCCATGTTGATAATGATCATTCTGGTTTCACTTTTGGATTATTTAGCCTTATACATCGTGACACAGGTAAATTATATGGACGTGGAAGGACCTCCAAGCACGGCTACGTCAAAGGGGCTCAATTTGTATTTCCTGACTACAATGTGGAAATTGATTTCGATAAATGTGATGGTGTTGTAGAGATGGTTTGGGCTTCAGATGTTAGGCACTATATTACTCACTCCAAGACTTATACACATGATCATCAGCCTATTCCACCAGAAGAAGCAAAGATAACCCGATTTGGATCGTCTTGTCAAATCGCAAAAAGTATTGTTGCATGCATCAAACTTCTTACTGACATGCAAGGTGACACGTGTGATCAAGAATGAGAGGTATATCGAGAAACATTGGCTGAAAACTATGCAGATGAGTTGCTTCGTAAACTTCAGATGTTAGAAGATAAGAAGAACAAGGCAGAGATGGAAGAGCTTAAAGCAAAATTGAAATCTTTGTAATATTTCTCAAATTCTTTATTTGTCTCATAACAATCTATAATTGTCCCTGTCACTCCATCTTTTTTTAAAAAATGCTACAAGAAATACAAAGAGACTGTTTTCTACCTCATTGATAGATCTTCTGTTAAACTCTGATCTTTAAGCTTGAACAAAACTCTCATTGGAATTGAATCAACCATTTGCCAAACAAAAATACAAAAAATGCTTTCATTTATCAAAGACACATAAAAAATGAAACTGAATACAAGAGAAAGAGATGATTTTACTTGAAATATATTCAGCATAAGGATTCTTTCTTTGTATTACTACATGATCATTGAAGATGGAGGCTGTCCAATGGAGTTCCAGTCCTGTTATGAAGAATCAAAGCTTGTCGCATCAAGTTGAATGCTTGCCATATGTTGGAATACTTGAGGTTATCATGGTACAAGTTGAGCCCGGGCATCAAAGCATCAGCAACAGTGGAAAACCAGGATGGTGTGTAAGTAAAGAGACTTTGTATATCCGGGTATTGTGCTGAAATCCTTACTTCAACATCTTCATTTGGCACTTTGATCAAACCATCAATCCCCCCAAACAACTCATGAGGATTCTTATAAGCAAAATCAGCACTGGTCCCACTGGGAAGGGAAGTTCGAGGATCCTTTTGTCTTCTGAAGTTGTTGTACTGGTTTGTAAATTTCCTCAAGCGCTTCTGCATGAACGGTATCCAAAGATAAAGGAATAATAAACTTTGAAAAGAGTGAACATTTTGTAAGTTGGGTGTACCTTTGTGAACAAACAGATGGAGAAGAAACCCACCGATCCAAAATATTATCAGAGTTATATTGGCCCTTTTCCAGCGACTCATCAAATCCATTGATGATCCTGCGTGTATGACGTCAACACATTTGACCCCAAAAGCACTCAATCTTTTGATTGTGAACGGATTTAGTGTATTTGTGCCGTTTGAGTGCCTTGACTTCTTCTAGACCACCAAATACACAAACAAGAGTAGCATGGCTGGCTGCCATCTTGCCAGTCTCAGTGCCACAATCAGTGTGAAGATGCTGTGGGCTACCACCATGCCATTTCACCACATCAAGATAATATATATCAATGTGCCAAGGGTCACTATTTGTGACATGTACATATAGTCCAAGTATGTGACAAGACCAAGCATCAACAAATCCGTATATTCTAATTCCCCAACTTTGAAGCTTGTCGTGCCCATCAGCCGAACAAATATGGTGTGGTCCAGGACATCTAAAGGCACGGCAAGTCAGAACTCTGCAATGTCGACGTTGAACACCTTCAGGATCCACTTGTCTCAAGATTTCTGCTAGTCGCTCCCTGTCAATGAAAAAAATGCAAGTTTAACAATGAAGAATTTGAATAGAGATGTGTTAAAAGTCAAGTGCCTGTTGATATGAATTTTGTGTTCACTGAGTAATAAAGACTTGAGCAATCAGATCCCAGTGTTTTCATGGTTTTCCTTCTGGACCTCTAGAATAAGTTGGGTTATTTCTTCAACTGTGTATAACCTCTTTGAATGTCATCATATCTACAAGAAAGTCCTAAACTCTTGCAGTGCCGATTCAGAGTTCGTCTACTAATATTAATCAGATCCTTATTTTTCAGTGCAGTGAGCATCTCTGACATTGTCTTGCCTTGGTGGTATGTGATCATTAAACAAGTTCAGGATTTTTTGGAAGTTTATGATGAAGATTCAGAATAATCAATTCATTATTTTACTCTGGAGTGTTTAACACAAGTTCATTTGCTGAAGTTCAAACATTAGGCCAATCAAAAGAAAATAACAACAAAATGTTTTGTTGATTGCTTATATGGTTAAACTTAGGGTTCTTTTGTCAATTTATCCTTATTCAATGATTTTTCTCCATCTTAAATTGGTTTGTTGAGGTTTCTTGTGGGAATGCAATTTAGTATTCGCTCTACATAAATATATAGTTCTTGACAATTGAAAGATATG